TTGCCTTTTGTATATAATTCTATGGTTTCATGGTTTCATGATCTTTATTTGGTGAATGGCTCCACCTAATCCGAAACGAGTGGAGATTTCTAGTCTCACGCGCTGCCGGGTGGATTTTTCCGAGATCTGCCGTATCCGAAAGATGCATCGCCAGACCTTCGTACGACTCTCTGTCGTACGACTCTCTGGAACAGTAAACATAATATTCTTCCTCACAGAGGTCGATCTGTTGTGGAAACCTAAGAATTGCCGAGAATATTGTCAGCAAAGCGTATCCACCACGATTTGTTAAGGACCTAGTCGATATCAAAAGCTGCAATAGATTTTCGTGAATGCCGTAAACGACAAGCTCCCTCGGACAGGGACAGGAAGATCAGTGTCAAAAACGTAGAGGACTTGGCGCGCGAGCAGCGATGGGGGTTCGTATGTATACCGGCGAGAAAACCCTTTAATATTTTCCATGGACGATCATACCCTCACTCGAGAACATTCAGAAGATTACTAGGAGTTGGAAGAAACTAATACGGCACAAACAGCGGAAATCAAATACAACCTCCTATGAAGTGAACTGAGTAACCGCGACTTCAACTCAGCTAGTTTTCGTGTGTGTGACACTTGAATCGTGGGCCAGATGCTTCTCAAGATAGCATTTTGGAAAGAGCTCTCGTCACCTTCACTACTCATAACGATTTGATTCACTAGCAAGGCGGTATGCCGGCTCATGGATTGAATTTTGTGAAAGTCTGCTGCAGAGCCCATTTGTCCGACTTTGGACTGCACAAAGATTGGCCAGCCAAAACCTCCGATTTAAATGTAGCGTTACTTGTATTAGGTTGGTGCAAAAGTCTTGAGACACAAATTTACATGGATCGTCATGTCTCTACAAGAATCTTTGCCACCGTCATGATTTCACCATATTCTAGAACAATCTCAGAGTTACCGCTAGCAGTATTAAATGGGTCCCCGAGCCCTTCTGGTATAAACCATGTCGCAATTGTCAAGAAGTCAACTTCGAGCAATCGTCGTCTACACAGCGGCCCGCCCCAAGGGGTACCTGCTGTTTCTTTTCGTTCCGCTGCCTCCAATATCAACACTGCATTCGGAGAGAACCTCGTCAGGCATGCGACGGTTAGTCGTTTATTTCGCTCGTTTTCAGTCTGGAGATACGATGCTCGACGACGACTCCTCGCTCCGGGCGACCAACTCTTATCGAAGACGACCGATTCTCAACGAAGTGAAGAAGAAGCGGAGGCTACGAGCAGAGAATTGGCGGAGCCTCTCGATGCGATCACAGCAATGTCGTTCTGACACCTTCACGAGCACGGTTACAGGAAAGTTTTCGCTCGATGGATTCCGCACCAACTGACCGACGATCTGCGTCACACGCGTGTCTCAATCGCCCAGTCGCTCCTCCTCACTCCAAATTGGAAGGAGTTTCTGCAGGATCTGGTTAAGGGGGCCAAAGCTGGATCTTCCGACGACAACAACAAATAGGTGTCGCACGTCAGCGCTCTCCAAAAGCAGAAATAACCACGTGTAGCTCAAGCCAGGACAGCGCCTAAAGAAAGTTTTGCTATGCTGCTTCTGGACTCGAAGGGAATGCTATACCATGAATTGCTCCCTCAAGGGCAGGCAGTCACGGCTACCATTTACAGTCGCCAGCTCCTGGAACTCGTTCATGCAATCGAGGAAAAGCGACGCCAGAGGGCCTGTCCATACTTCGCATGTGACAATACTCGACCTCACGTCGCAAAGATCACGCAGTTCAGGCTACAGGAGCTCGGGCTGGAATACCGTCTCCCACTCTCCCTATTCCCCTCGACCTCGCCCTTCTGACTATCATCTTTTTAGGCACCTCAAGCAATTCCTGGTCAAGAAGAAGTTCGCCTTTTTTGGTGACCTCAAAAATGCGTGTGACTGACTCTTCCGCGATCACAGCTCCTCTTTCTGGCAAGACAGGGAAATGCCGACCTTACTCTGCTCGTTGGTATAAAATGGTCATAGATTGTTGAGTGAATATACATAGTTATTGAACTAGAGTTTGAAAAAATGTAAAAAGTTTTTTTACCACGGCATCCGAATTTGCCAAGACTTTTGCCACCCATTATGATAAACTTCATTGCTGCTGGTCGGGTTGTTGAAGCTCGAGAATTGCGCGAAGCAAACACCACAGTTAAGATAAGCTGGCAGTTTGCTCTTCAAGATAAAAAAAAAGACCGATGAGCGGTTTTTGTTGACAGGAGTTGCGGTTCAAGGGACATATTCTGTAGCGTAATCGTCGGAAGAACAACTGCCACAGACATGGCAGCCATTGCTGAATAAAATAGTACTGGCAGTTGTTTGGAAGGATATGCTCGTACGTTGCTGTACATGCTTGGTACCCCGTTTCGACCCTTCTGGTTTGAGCTGGGCCACAATTACTTTGTCATCATATTTGAGCCCCCCTGTAGAATACCGAGGGAATGGACGGAGCATCCCAAAAAGCAGGAACGATCAACGCCTGATGTGCTTTCATTCTATCAGATCTTTAGTCAAAAACATCGCGCCTCTGCCCATTTCAAATAGGATCCCACTCTGGAGAAATTGAACCAGTCAAGAACAGATGAATACCTTTTACAGGGAGTTGTTAGAGACCTGATCGTATTTGATTCTGTATGGTATAGCATGAAGGCTTGCAATCCTATCCTTGGCTGAAATTAGCATCCGTACCGGTAGTTTGCTAAAGCATAAAACAGGTGGTGCTGCAAGACCAACACTTTTACTATTGCGCGTTCAAATGTCCTAATTATTTTAAATGGCAATCGAATATTCATATTCACTATGGAGAATTTCAAAGAGGACGAACCTTGTAGATTTGTAGGCGGTAAAGGATAAGCGTCGGCTGCTGCCCCAGTAGTTCGAACATTCGCTCCAGTAACACTAAACATCAGATAAATCACAGGCTTTTGCGAAGGAATCAAACACTGTTTCAACCCATATTGCTTTGAAAAGAGAAAGCTGCTAATTGCTTTCACATCAGCTTTGATGTTAACCACATGCCGACAGTTTTTTTGTGAGGCTTTCTGTTCAAAGAAAACAGATGAAAACAGTAAGAAGCTGGTCAATACCACCGCGGACGTGATGTGGTGAATCGGACGGACCCAGTAGCAGAGCCTATAAAAAGTGCTGCACATTTTCGTACACCTTGTACAAACTTAATCATTGAGGTAGATATGCCTTGCTGAAGAACCCGACAGGGGGCCCGGCGTGCGGCGAGAAGGCAGTGACGCAGACGGATGACGCGTGCTATGTGATGTGGGACGCATTATAGGACATTCTATCGAAACTTGTCGCGATAATGCAGCGGCGTACGCACCGCGACTCGGCTGCCACTGACAGTGTCCGGCGTAATCGCCTCCTGAATCCGCATGACGCGGCCTCCTGTCTGGCGTACCCCACTCTTTACTAATAGGCTAGCGAGAAGGTCTTGTAAGGGTTCGCCGCTTTTTGCCAGAGTGAGTTTGATATTAGGCCATAAGAACTCGCAGCCCGTGAACACCAGACCGAGCTTAGCCTCGTTTCTTCTGCGACATGAATATCTTACTGAGCGAGAAAGAGTTAAAAACAAAATTTTTTCTGAAAGTTGTCACTTCTTATTTTGACATACACGAGGTCGCTCAAGAAAAAATAACCATAGCCCCGAGGTCAACGTGCTTCCTTCTCGAGCAAAAACGGTTTTCAAGAAAAAAAAAGCCCGATCTGAAGAAGCTTCCAGATCAGGTGTGCCACAGTACCGTGTCAGTGGACAGCGCACTATTATTAGTCCTGCTGCAACAAAGTATGTTTGCTCGTGCCTATACAGCTTGGCAACAGCAAAGCTTTGCCTCCTCTCACTTATCAAGGAGAGCTATCTACACTCGAACACATTCTTCACTTTTACCCCAGCACAATAGCGGAAATGCGTTGACACATATGCTGCTGACAGAGCCTACCTGCTACTGTCGCGAATACGTAGACCTTTCACGACAGTGCTGGCAAACCATGGTATTGCCACACCACCACGATTTGTCTTTTTTGTTTTATTGCTATTATTTGTTTATTATTGTTACTATTGTTATCTTTATTGTTTTATTATTATCCATTATTTCTATTGTTTTTTAATATTTGTTTTTTTTTTTTTATTTTCTCACATTTTTTAATTTTTATTTTGTTTTTCTCTAATTTTAGAAGCATTGAAGCGAAAGTACGTGAGAGACTTCTCGTGGTCATTACCCCTCATTCGAAGGCAGTGATTACGACAATCCAAAAGGGGTTCAGAGGGGCTGTGATGGTGCTCAATAGTACGCCAATGGCGAAAAAAGCAGACAAAACCGTCGAAATTACGCTAAGTACTGCCCCTTTAAATGCCCTTTCATTTTCGACCATGAATGAGCGGCGACAAAGAAAGAAGTTGTTTGGACGTGTTAACCCCGATAGCCGCCATCATGCCAACAAGCATAGTGTTTTGATTGATAAGGCATTACGTGGGCAAGTTGGAAGATACAGCCGCTAAAAGGGAAATGATCTTCCAAAATGAAAAGCCAACAGCAAACAGCTCGCCCAAGTCACCAACTGAACAAGTGGGCGTAACGCTTTCGGGGCGGAGTGCTTCGGAAGTCCTGCTCAGCAACCAGGGCACCTTTCGTCGTGAAGCGCCACACCTCGCTTCCTTGGCAGCCAAGTAAGCGACGCGTCGTGCAAGTCCCACACGGCCAAGGCCAAAAGTCGCTATGTCGTCGACCTGATAACTGGCCGCTCTCGCAGTATAGGGGCATCTTCTAGGACTTACCCTAAAAGGGGCAGAAGCTACGAGAAAAACAAAAATGGCTCAGGCATCTTGGAGTCTCTTCGCCCCGCCTAAAGCCTAGCCCCGTTATTAAAAAAGACATGTTTTACGCGGTTTATAATGCTTGCCATCATAATGTCCCCGTATGTTGCGATAGCGCCCTTAATGCTACTATTTTCTAGTAGCTTCCTGTGAATCAGAACTTGTACAAAGCAGCGAATGTGGCCTTACGCCTAAAGAAACCATAAACGTGAATGTTAGGTATTCGGGCAAGGAAAAATAGAAACTTTGAAGTGGTATAATCACGTTTACTTCTAAAAGCCAATTCAGCCTTCAAAATATTTACCAACGGCTACTGATTACTCTATACAATAGTTATGTTTAGTTTGCTTTTGCTTCAATTACTAATAGATAGTTCCAACAAAGTCGAAATTAAGAAGAATTTACCTGGTGCTGATAATGGGCGACTCGGCGATAAACGGCTCGGAGGCGCTGGTCGAATTGCAGCGCCATTTCTGAACATCTTTATTTTGCACAATAAAACTAAGATAAGAGCTGAAAAAAGCATTGGCTATATGGACAACAGAACATACCCTGTCATTCGCGGAGGTGATGGGGGACGGACTCCTGGCGGAAGTGCACCCATTGAAGGTGGTGCTGCGAGTCCAGGAGGTGGAATTGGGAAGTTCGGAAATGGTCCTGGGTTTGAATTTGAAAAGGACATTGAGACTGGTGCGGATGGTTGTGTGAACCTAGGTACAGCAGGAGATGATCCCGGGTACCCATCGGAGACACAGTACCGAATTCCTGGAAGAGTATGGGGATACACTGCATATCCAGGAGGCTTTATGGGATATCTGGTGGTTCTACGGGTGGTTGTTGTGGGGCGCCGAGTGGTTCTTGTGGTTGGCCTTCGAGTAGTGGTCGTAGTACGTCTAGTGGTTGTAGTGGTTCTTGTGGTAGGCCTTCGAGTAGGTCGTAGTAGTAGTGGTTGTAGTAGTTCTACGAGTCGTGGTGGTAGTGGTGGGTCTGGTCGTAGTCCTAGTGGTTGTACGTGTGGTCGTTGTGGGCCTTGTTAGTGGTAGTGGTGGTTGTTGTTCTGGTCGGTGTTGGTGTTGCACGGGTCGTTGTAACGGTGGTGCTCGTCATTCCACTGAAATATTCAACCATAAAATCCAGCCGATTCAAAATTTGATTCTATTTGTTATAAAAGGTTCTACAGAATTGATTAGCATAACCACTTCGAATCTCTGCGATTTCTGTCATGTCAACTCCTTGAAGGCAGGGCGCCGCCGTTTTGATAAAGTCGAAGGTGAAAAATGCGTTGATAGATAGTCCACACCCACTCCCAGCGCAGTGAGGTGTCTAGTCCATCAACGACATTCAGTGACGTGATCAAAACCACACCGTTTTTCAGCCATCAGGAGCAGTGCCTTCAAGGCCACAGATTCCATAGATAAATCATCATATCTCACAAATGACGAAAGCACAACCAAAAAGGGCGCAGGGTCTTCTCAGCGACTGTGTTAGCTCGCTGGCTTTGTGTCACCTCTCATAAAAATCCAAGCGAGATAAGATACATCACTTCAAAACTTGTGGCACCCATAATGTTCACCTGCTCTACTGAGATACACTGCTAAAAGCTCTAGAAGTAAAGACTCTTCTGACTCTTCACTGGCAGTGCTGTTCACGCCTTTAGCTAAAAGCACCTTTCGCCATTTGTTTCTTCCCAGGGTGCGATAGTGGGCTCCCCAAGCACTGAGGGCGCGACACTATCGCGACCCAAAAGTGCGCGGCAATGGCGCTAAGGCCTTGCCCGCCGCGCTGCCCGCGCTGCCAGCGTAATCCACCACGGCATACGTGGTCTCTGCGTCCTCTCGCGTACGACGTACTATCTCGCGTTCTCCCTCTCCTCGCAGCGCTGTGTCTCTCCGTCGTACTACGGCCGGCCTCCTAAGGGAAATTTAGTGTTTTCTATGGTGCTTTTTGCTTTTTCTCCTCACTAATGTTCCTCATTGCACCCCTTGCCTAATGTTTGAACAAAATAACGCATCAATTCAATCCCGACTCGTGCCTTTAAGTGGGTAAGTTTCAACACCATAATGGACCGAACAGACCGAATCTTCGCTTGAAATATTTTTGTAGGTTTTATTTGGAATGGATTGCGATTCTATTCAGAGTACAGACTACTGCGGATTCATAGAAGCACGCATCGCATTAGATTCCTTAGGCATTTCTCTCCGTGAATGAGGAGGCATAGTTCCTAACTACAGGATTCCTGGTGACGGCTCGAAAGTGCGAAAAAGGCCTCGAACGCAGATTTCTGGTATTACATGATGTTTGTCTATATTACAACGCAAATAAGCATAAGCATCGCCTCATCCATCCCGGAAACAGCTCCAAGTATCAAAACTTATTTCATAGTCACCTCCTTTACTTGACTTGAGTGCGCTAGCCCTAGTCGTAACTGTA